GTGCACAAGCGACCAACTTGAAGCGTTGGCTGCGATTTTGAAGCTGAAATCGTGTTCGGTGTGAACGCAGCATAAGGCTATAATGTCTAAAAAAAACATGAATGGAAGTCAATGAACGGTCCCCACAGGGTTGAAGAACAAACGTGTGTGTGTGTGTGTATAGGTGTGTGTTTGTGTGCATGAATGGGTGAATGAGAAACACGTGCAAAGTGATTCACAGAACCCAGCTAAAGTTACAAGAGCCTAAACCTGAACGGACCATCAGAGCTTCTGCCTCATTCTGACGACTCTTTGAGTGAGTTTTTTTTTACGCTGCTGTAAAGATTTTACCACCAATAAACAAAGTCTCTGCAGAAGTAATTGGATTTGTGTTTTCAACCTGTAGTTAATATTTATGTTTTGCATTATGAAACTCGTTTTTCACATAACAATCCTCCAAAAAACGCAGCAGGACGAATTAAAAAAAAGAGACTTTTCACCGGATGAGAGAACGCAGAGGGTCGGTGCTGTGCGTCGTGAAAACCACCGGGGGAGGGGGAGCGTATAAATGAGGTCAGGGGGGTCTTCTCACAATGGAGGCCAAAGGGGGTTCACGCGCGGGTTTTAAACTGTGTCAGGAGCGACGGCAGTCTGGGCTTTGTGCACCAGTTTGGGGCAGATACAGTCGGGGGGAGGCGGCGGTTTTCAAGAACAAAAACAAATATTTCCAGTTGGCTGCTCTTCCACCTGCTGCATCAAACTGGAAGCAGGAGACACCTGCAGAAACCTTCACAGATACGAGGCAGAGCTCGGGACCCAGAACACGTCTGAGTTCAGCTCTGACCCCATTTCTTACGACCACCCTGAAACGTCAAAACCGATTTGAGGGTTTGCTGTTTTACCTGCGTGGCTTTGTCGTTGCCGCATGCAGCCGTGGCGCCCTCCGTCTCTTTGGGCCACTGACCCTGCAGGTAGGGTCCCACGATCGTGTCCAAGGACAGGGTCCTACGGATGGTGGGTCTAGGTGGGCGAGCTGCTGTTCTGTCCGCTTTAGGGAACAGAAAGGCCACATTTAAGTGCTAGTGACACATATCCATATATATATTAACAAGGCATAGTACACATGATTTTACATAGTTTGTCACATAACTGCATATTTTCTTTTGAACTGGGCGCAGCCAATCTGAAACAGGAAGTGACATCAAAGGGGAACTTCCTGGTTTTTGTTTATTGAAAATATATTAGTTGAAGTCTGATAAAATAATTAAAGAAACGTCCGATTTTTTTCTACAGTCTGTTATTAATCATTGATTAGATACAGGTATTCCCCTTTGACATCACTTCCTGTTACTTCACATGCAAATATCTCAACAACTGTTCATCTCAGTGGCTTGAATTTTATTTTGCTTTATGTTATTAATGTTAAATATTAAAACATGTATTCACATGTATTATATAAATTCCATGTCCTGGCACTTTAAATGAATAGGTGAGGTGAGGTGAAAAAGCGTTTGCTGGGGGCTTCTTGTGCCTCTCTGGCAGGTGAAGATCCCACCTTTGACCCGGTCCACCACAGGCTGCAGAGTTTATTTACCACCAACCTGAAAGCACATGTCACCGGGCCGGGTTTCAGGGTATAAATAACTCACAGATGTGAGTTTCATGGATGTAGTTTAGGAAGAGGAGAAACAAAGAGGCTTTTAAAGCTGCTGCTGCTGGGTTAGCGTCAAGCATGCAGCAGAAATCCTGCAGGTCACGGTGTGAAGGCACATGAGTGTCCAAATAACATTACGAGATGGGGGGGTTATGTTTCAGGGTTCACAACCTTCACTGCTGACCTCAGTTTCTCAGAGCATGTTGTCACTTTTAGAGATCTCCTGTTGAACTATTTAAGACTTGAAGCTGTTTTGTTCAAATCTTGAAAACATTGCATGCAGTTCTGCAGAACCTCACACCCAGATTATGTGTTGTTAGCGTCTCTCTGATACGTCAAATTATAGCTCAATATCTCTAAAACTGACCGATAAACAGAAACAGGATCAACGCCAACAGTTTCTATTACTGTCAAACCAAATTTAGGTTCTATTTTACATAATCAATTGGCTGTGGCGGCCATCTTAAATTGGGTTGACTCCAAAAGTTAATCAGTTGTAGAGGTCCATTAAATGATTTTTTTCCTGAAAGCTTCATTAAAATCCATCCAGTGGTTCGTAAGATATTTAGCTAACAGACAAACAGGAGCAGACTTGACTCCAGTTACAGCTTATGTTTTAAGCAAAAATCGTGCACAATGAGTAGTACTTATCATATGTGTTGTGTATGGCTCTAAGCTACTGTTACACCAAGTTTTGGATCAATATCTTAAAAACTGAGTAAATTATAGCACTTTTGTGTTTTATATAATCAATTGGCTGTGGCGGCCATCTTAAATTGGGTTGACTCCAAAAGTTAATCAGTTGTAGAGGTCCATTAAATGATTTTTTCCTGAAAGTTTCATTCAAATCCATCCAGTGGTTCGTGAGATATTTAGCTAACAGACAAACAGACTTGACTCCAGTTACAGCTTACATTTTAAGCAAAAATCGTGCACAATGAGTAGTACTTACAATGTGTGTTGTGAATGGCTCTAAGCTACTGTTACACCAAGTTTTGGATCAATATCTTAAAAACTGACTAAATTATAGCACTTTTGTGTTTTACATAATCAGTTGGCTGTGGCGGCCATCTTAAGTTGGGTTGACTCCAAAAGTTAATCAGTTGTAGAGGTCCATTAAATGATTTTTTCCTGAAAGTTTCATTCAAATCCATCCAGTGGTTCGTGAGATATTTTGCTAACAGACATGGTGCTGACTTTAAACAGTTGTCTAAAGCACTCAGATGGTGTGATGGGGATCAGCCTCAGCTACCACCACACTAAATTTAAAGGTAAAATATCTGTTTTGTGGTGTTTTTATTTACCCGTCCTGAGCTCCCTGCAGACCGGACCTGAGCCCCTGTGAAGCTGGTACGGGACCGTGGCTCTGAGGGGCTGCAGACTGGGGTTGCTGCAGCCCCGGGGGGCTCCTGCAGCTCCGCTCCTGCCCGACATCCCCACGTCTCTCTGCGGGCTTTGGGTTCGCATCCCGTCGCTGTCCGTCAGCTCAGCCTGTCCGACCACAATCATTCAGTCCCTCCGGAGCGATGATCCGAACCCGCGAACGGGTTTCATGTCGCCTCTTTTCTGACTGTTCTCGACTCACAGCTTTCAAACAAACTGAATGAGCTTCAAGAATAAAAAAAAAAATCACATTTCTTTCTACGTTTTTAGTTTTTTTTGGCGTTAGTTTCTTACTTTTCTCCCCGTCTGCACTGACAACAGTCCAAGCTGCGCAACTGTCTCGTGCAGCGTGTTTGTAAAAGAGGCTGATCTGATTGGTTGCTGCCGGATCCTTCTGAACGCTGATTGGTCCAGACATCCATCCGTCCACACTGAGGAAAGATCCCTCCCACTTTGTAAAGATTTGTAGGGGTGCCTCAATTTCTGGTTCAGGGGATGTTAAGAGGTCACTGCAGGAGCTCAGAAGGTCCTGGATTGTTTTAACTAGCATTAATACACAATTTTACACAATTCAGGGCAAAAAAAACCAACATATTTATACATCAAATTACATGTTCATGTTTGATACAACCACGAAAGTGCAGTATCAGGTGGTTATTGGTGTCTATCATAGCTACAAGCTAAAATTAGCAAAACTTTATCTACAAGTTAAAATAAGTAAAACAATCAGTAAAAGCTAAAATTAGCAAAATTGTAACTAGAAGCCAAATTTTTTTTTAAAACAGTAGCAAAATCCTAAAAAGTAAATCGCTAAAATTTAGCAAGACAGCAGCGAAAGGGAGCACAAGATAAAAATAGAGTAAATAATATAAACATTTTTACGTTTTAAAATACTAATAGTTGATACTAATTCTGATCATGCTGAATTTTCTTTTTGGTGCTGAATATAGTTAAGACCTAAAATACGTAAAACAACAATTGAAAGCAAAAAATTAGCAAAGCCATCACTAAATGCCAAAAAAGTTCAAATAATAGTTAAATCTAGAAGAAAAATTGAAGCTAGAAAAACAAAACATTGCTAACATTAGCAAGACAGCAGCTAAAAGTGATCACAGGAAAATAACAACTGAGCAAAAAGGTATTAAAAATGTTAAAAACTAAACTTTGTTGAACTTATTCCAGATCATGCTGGGCGTTCTGATATATGATGGTTAAAATTGCACAAAATTAAATAAAATTGAATGAAAAAAATGTGTAAATAAGAGTCTAAATATTGACTCAGCATTCAGACTTTAACCACTCTGAGGATTTGGGGCAATTTTTAAAACAACACCTCTAGATGGAGCCAGAGTATGAAAAAAACCCCATTAAAAACACATAATGGAAAAAGGCAGTTTATTGCAACATAAAACCAGTAAAATCAGTATGCATGTCCTCAGAATCTAACCGGACTAAAGGAAAACACGTGAACAATAATAGCTTGTAATCAATAAATAGCTGCACAAATTTAAATATACTTTGACAGTTTTAGATTAGACACACTGTAATGATATGCACTTTGACAGGATTTTAGACCCTGATCCCACTCAGCCACACATCCTGTACTCTCCGACATGTTTTGTGAAACCTCCCGACCTTACAAACTGACCGTTCTGTCTGTCTTTACATGTGCTATTTTGGTTTAGATTCAATAAAACAGGCTGAAGATGCTGAAAAACACAGATGGAGTCACGGTGAGAATACTGAGATGCAAAAACAAAACACATAGTAAGATAACCGGATGCTTCGGAGAAAGTTTATATGATGTCGGATACTAGAGGGTGTTGGAGGTCAAAAGCAAAACGTTGAGTGGATAAGGCAAAGAATCTAACAAACGCATCGTTTTAGCTTCATGACGGTGTCTCGCGTACAAAAACTCACGACGTTCCTGTTCTTTTTGTTCGACGGAGGAGGTGTAGGGAGCAGGACGTGGGTCAGAGCAGCATCACCAGGCAAACAGGCTGTGGGTCGGATCCGTCCGGAGCTCCTAGCTGGGGGAGAGCGCGGGGCTGGGCTCGGTGCTGATGTTCACCAGACACTCGCTGGACTTCAGGCTCGCCAGGGACTTGGAGCTGGGCAGAGAGGCCAGCGAGCCGCACAGACCCAGCATGGAGGGGGTGTTGTCCTTTCCTGCAGACAACACAAAACGCACACTGTGAAAACTCCCATTATGATCCCGCATCGTTCAAAACCGCCCACGCCGAGACACGCAAGCAGGCATGAAGCCCGCCTTTGTGTGCACGCTCATACATGTGCATTTGTGTAGAGAAAGCAAATGTATTCCTGCTCCAGCAGAAACATCATGTATATAACATACAGCACTCTGACTGACTCAGCTCCATTTAATCAAACCTGAGCTGCCATAATTCTGAGAGCAGGACGTCCAAACAAACTTCATCATCTATGTTTCTATGAGACGTCAGGGGGTGGAAGAAACTTCTGAACCACTAATTAGTTGGCTGCAGTCATGGCTGCCAACTGTAATTTACTGTATGTCTTCTTTGTTACTGGAAACCCAGAGTCAGGACGGAGTCACAAAATATTTAATTTGACAGATGCAGTGAAGGAGAACAAGCCAGCTCGTTTATTCAGGGTATCTTTACTGATGATTTAAATGCTGCAGCAGATAAACGGTGATGGATGTTGAAAGTTTGACCTGCTGAGTTCCAGGCAGCGTCTCCATTTTGTCTGCCATCAGTCTTCTGGGAGTCAGAGTTCAGACTCACTTCAGCAGAAAGCTGCTCCAGACTGTGGAAACTCCTCCTGGATGGCACAGATATCATGCAAACAGGTTAAAACAGTCCAAACTATCATTTAAACTTTAAAATGTCTCATGTTGTTCTTTACGTCAGTGTCTTATGGGGTGCCAAGTGTAAAATGTTAAGAAATATTTGATAAAATGCTTATCTCACTTTCTGAGAGTAAAATCCTAGTTAAAAAAATTCCACTAACATTTTATTGTTATTGAGCTTACTGCTCATACTTGCTATTTTTTTACTAAATGTTAAATATAAGTTTTATATCTAAGTGTTAAATCCTAAATGTAAAAATTATATGTAAAAGTTGTGGCTAAATGTTAAAGTTTACATTTAAGTATTTCCGAATAGAACACAGCCTTTGCTGTTGGTGCATGGCGTTTGTTGTGACATCATCATCC